ACTTCGAAAAATGACTAAGTAAAATCCCGAAATCCCGAAGCGCGATTTCAGTAACAAAATCCCGAACGCACGTGCGGATATAACTTCGAGAAATGACCAAGTAAAATCCCGAAGTCCCGAAGTGCGATTTCAGTAGCGAAATCCCGAACGTACGCCTGGATGTAATTTCGAGAAACGGCTATGTAAAATCCTGAAATCCTGAAGTGCGATTTCGGTAACGAAATCCCGAACGCACGTGCGGATACAACTTCGAGAAATGGTTAAGTAAAATCCCGAAATCCCGAAGCACGATTTCGGTAAGGATATCCCGAACCCACGTGCGGATATAACTTCGAGAAATGACCAAGTAAAATCCCGAAATCCCGAAGCGGGATTTCAGTAACGAAATCCCGAACGCACGTGCAGATATAACTTCGAGAAATGACTAAGTAAAATCCCGGAATCCCGAAGTGCGATTTCGATAGGGATATCCCGAACGTACGCCTGGATATAATTCTGAAGAACACTTGGTTGACTTTAAAGAGTTGTTCATTACTTTAATGGACATTTCGAGTTTCAAAACCACGAATTTGCAAACATGGATTCCGTCTTCACGAACATAAAGCACGAATTCGGGTTTCAAAACCACCAATTCAATATTTTTTCGTTACCATGGTTCGGTATCCGTTTCGGTGAAATTTCGGGGTCCCATTAACCACGAGTGGAGAGTTCTACAACTGTCTCTTATACACATCTAGATGTGTATAAGAGACAGCATGGATTCCGTCTTCACGAACATAAAGCACGAATTCGGGTTTCAAAACCACCAATTCAATATTTTTTCGTTACCATGGTTCGGTATCCGTTTCGGTGAAATTTCGGGGTCCCATTAACCACGAGTGGAGAGTTCTACAATATGGTGCCGTTCCGACAGGACCGAACCCTCGACCAGAACAGAAGGGGGCCGTGAACCCGGACAACGACAAATCACAGCAGGTACATCAATAAGAAGTTGCAAAGCCGTCGCCACCAGCCGCTGCCACGGGCCCGCCCGACCCCCCGTTCAGGAGGGCAAGCAGGGCACCGGGAAGCAGCGGGGCAACGAGGGTGCAAGCGCTGTCTCCTCCCCCCGCCCCCAACCCGACACCACCCCGTTCACGACCAAAACCCTCCCCCAACGGCCCTCCACCCCGAGATTCAGACCACCTCGACTGTGTCGAGGACGCCGATTTGTCCGGAAAGCAGAACCCTGTTGGGAAGGAAGGCAGGGCGAAACAGGGAGGGGCCGAGGACCTCGCAACACACCCCTCCCCTAGCCTCTACCACGACCCTCGATCCCCAAACAAGCCACAAGCTCCGCACGAAGCCGAGGTTGAGGCCGGGATGAAAAGGAGGTCTGAACAAAGCTGAGACGGGAAGGAGCGGGGGTCCGCAGGCCGAGGACAACCGCCACCACCCGACATCCCGCCCCTGACCCTCCCGCAGGGCTGTCCGTGCCCGGACCAACCGCCATCCCGACCAGAAGTCGAGAGTGGGGCTGGGCCGAGGTAACAACTTGTGGAGGCGAGACGGGATGAAGGGGGAGCAACGCCACAAGGCCCCGGACCCTGCCCACTCCCCCCACCCTCGACCTACACCACGCCCCCCTCTGCGCCGGGCCAACCGCCAGTTGGGTACTAAGCCCAAGATGGCGCTGAAACGGAAGAGAAAAGCGGATGCAGGGAGGATGGGGGCAAAGGGCGGCGGAAGGGCGAGCAAGCCAGCGTCCCACACCCCGAAGATCGGCCATTCACKTGTCAATGATCCTTCCGCAGGTTCACCTACGGAAACCTTGTTACGACTTCTCATTCCTCTAAATGATAAGGCTTAAGGAACTTCTCACACACCCCAAGCGGCAAACCGCCGAGATCACCGCAATCCAGACACTTCACCGGACCATTCAATCGGTAGGAGCGACGGGCGGTGTGTACAAAGGGCAGGGACGTAATCAGCGTGAGCTGATGACTCGCGCTTACTAGGCATTCCTCGTTCAAGATCGATAATTACAACAATCTATCCCCGTCACGATGAACCTTAAGAAGGTTACCCAGGCCTTTTGACCCAGGCAAGCGACTCGTTGGATTCATAAGTGTAGCGCGCGTGCGGCCCAGAACATCTAAGGGCATCACAGACCTGTTATTGTCTTAAACTTCCGTTGGCTAGTCGTCCAACAGTCCCTCTAAGAAGCTGGCCACGAGGAAAGGTCCCCGTGTAGCTATTTAGCAGGCTGACTTCTCGTTCGTTAATGAAATTAACCAGACAAATCACTCCACCAACTAAGAACGGCCATGCACCACCACCCATAGAATCAAGAAAGAGCTCTCAATCTGTCAATCCTTGCTATGTCTGGACCTGGTGAGTTTCCCCGTGTTGAGTCAAATTAAGCCGCAGGCTCCACGCCTGGTGGTGCCCTTCCGTCAATTCCTTTAAGTTTCAGCCTTGCGACCATACTTACCCCGGAACCCGTAAACTTTGATTTCTCACAAGGTGCTGGCAGAGTCATCCAATAGACATCCGCCACTCCCTAGTCGACATCGTTTATGGTTGAGACTAGGACGGTATCTSATCGTCTTCGATCCCCCAACTTTCATTCTTGATTAATCAGAACATCATTGGCAAATGCTTTCGCAGAAGTTCGTCATCCATAAATCCAAGAATTTCACCTCTGACAATGGAATACGAATGCCCCCAACCGTCTCTATTGATCATTACTCCAATGCCGAAGACCAACAAAATAGGACCAGAGTCCTATCGCGTTATTCCATGCTAATATGTTCAGAGCACAGGCCTGCTTTGAAGACTCTAATTTTTTCAAAGTAACAGCGCCGGCTCTGGATCCCAGCCAATAAAGGCAAGGAACGCATACCCGGCAAGAAAGGCGAAAGGGCCAGTACACGCCCGCAAGAGTGGACCAACCCCTCCCACCCAAAATCCAACTACGAGCTTTTTRACTGCAACAACTTAAATATACGCTATTGGAGCTGGAATTACCGCGGCTGGTGGCACCAGACTTGCCCTCCAATGGATCCTTATTCAAGGAGTTTACGACTATTCTCATTCCAATTACCGGACTCGAAAGAGCCTAGTATTGTTATTTATTGTCACTACCTCCGTATGTCAGGATTGGGTAATTTACGCGCCTGCTGCCTTCCTTGGATGTGGTAGCCATCTCTCAGGCTCCCTCTCCGGAATCAAACCCTAATTCTCTGTCACCCGTTACCACCGTGGTAGGCCTCTATCCTACCATCGAAAGTTGATAGGGCAGAAATTCAAATGGAACATCGCCAGCTCAAAGGCCATGTGATTCGACAAGTCACCATGATTCGCCGCAATAACGGGCAAGCTGGATCGACCTTTTATCCAATAAATACATCCCTTCCAGAAGTCGGGATATGCTACACGTATTAGCTCTAGAATCACCACGGTTATCCGAGTGGTAAGGAGACCCCCAAATAAATGATAACTGATTTAATGAGCCATTCGCAGTTTCTTTTTTTTTATCCTCTTACTACCTTTTTTTTTTTTTTTTTTTTTCCCAACACACACACTGCCCCATCTATTCTGGGGGGCAACAGTCCGGTTGCTATTCACCGGCAAGCAGAAAGACAAAGTTCGAGAAGAAAATCTGAACAAAAGACAAAGGAGAGGGGGTATCCGCCCAGATCCCAATGAGGGACTTAGAGGCAGCGGCAGTAAAAAGGGGCAGACGAACTCACAATCTCCAAAAGACACAATTACTAAGTCACTGGTTACTCAAAATCATGGCTATTCTGTTGAGTTTTCCTGTTTTACAATTGCTATATCATTTTAGTGCCCCCACCGGGAGGCAAAGACGCACCCAATCATGGACGCACCAACGAAGCAAAGAAACTGTGCTAGGACCACCCTTTTAGCACCTCATACCCCCCTAGTAACTACCGAACTCCGCTAGTACCATGACTTTCATTTCCCACTTCTGCTACTTCTGACACTTCGTCCCCTCTTTCCAACTCATTCCGGTTACTCATGGTTTGTATTTGTTTAATGTTTCGTCACTGTTAATTCATAACTCCCTCCCTCCCTTTCCCCTCCCCCTTCCTCCCTCCCCCCTCCCCTCTCCCCCCTCCCTCAGTAACGCCCTGGACTCCCATAGTCCGACTCAAAAAGGGTTCCCAGTACACAGCTAACCACAAAGAGTAATCAAACCTCGCACAACCCTCCCATCCCTAGTCCTATTCAACCCTCCCCGTCCTATCCGCCCACCAAGAACTCCATTACTTAATCTAGACGATTGCGACCACATTCTCACCTATCCTCACAAGTCCCTTCTCCTAGCAACAAACCCCCCTCTAGACCTCGTCGTCCCACGTAAGCTCCCAGGACCATTGTCCAACCTGATCTCCTACTGTGATCACCCTATAAGAAGGTTTCCAAGCCTTGACAAAGAAAGACCACCACCCTTCCGTCTTCTAGAAACATCTGCAGAGATCGCCACTCTCAAATTCCGCAGCATCCAAGCTCGTAGCGTTGGGAAGGATGCAACCACCCCTTCACGAACAACCTTGCTCGCATAGCCCACACAACCGCCCAAAATGCCGCACAAACTGTATCGGCAGCATAGGCCGCAGCCATCCCTGTCACATCCCCCGAAAGGAGAAGCCCTACTAAAACCGGGGCGCTCCTTCTCAGGACCCCAGAAAGCGGGAACGCATTCCCCAGGGAGTCCCACCATTCCCAAAAGGCCACTTGAGGCGCACATTCCAACCATACGTGAGGCAGAGATTCTTCAACACCCTGACAATGCTTACAACACCTGTCTTTGTGCGAGCACTTATTTGCCAACCATTGGTACGTTGGTTGCGCCAACTGGAGGCAAAGCCACAAACCCCCCGCATGCTTCTGATCCAGGAGGAGGGCCAGCACCCTACAGGCCTTCTGCCAAACCAGACCATCCCAACAGAGCAAGGCCTTCTGATCCAACCATCCCCTCTTCCTCCACCTCTCCCGCATTTCTTCAACCATGTTCGATGGCACTAGCAGGGACCTGTAGATCACCTTTGTAGTTACCTGGTGAACTCTGCACCACTTCGTGAGCGAATTTCTAGGTGCCCATTCCCAACCCGATGGATCCCACGGGAGCTGAAGCGGCGTGCAGGCCGGCTTAAAGACGCGAAATACTCCCCCATTGGCTATCACCGGGTCCCGCAGTACCACGACTGACCTGATACATCCCTCATGGAGCCTTCCGTCCCGCTCCGGTCGTCGAACAAGCACATTACTCAGCGTTTTCCGTGAGCCAACATCCTACCAAGCCTCCGCCCCATACCACTGAGAACCCAACTTCTCTTTTAACTGAAAAAAACAACACTGGACGATCCTGCCCTCCCAAAGTAACCCATTCCCCTTGCAGTCGGTCCTTGGCTACCAGGCAGTTAATCCATTCCTGCGGAATCGCTTCTTTAATCTCTTCCAGCCTTTCCTTCTTCTTTGGTTGATACTCCAGTCGATGCAGGACCTCACCTTCCTCTTTTCACTTACCTCCCTGCACATCCCAGATATCAACAACCCGATACACGCAAGATGCCAACCATTGTTTCCCAAACGCACCCGGGCAATCCTGCCATGCAAATGGGACGCCCACCCGGTGTATGAATCAATTCCCAAAAAGAGACTGTCCCAAAATGTGGTCACATGTTCGTGGGGCCGCCTGCCTTAGCGGGGCCTCCCGCCATTTTTGCAACACACCCGACCACAACGCCCCCCGCCGAAGACCTCGAAGGAGTTGAGGATGGAGAAGAGTCGTCTCAACATCCGTCGGGTGGACTCTGATTGCCTCTGCCATTTCCCGCAAAGTGACCAGTTTCCAGGGCTCCGTATCCTCTTCTAGAAGAATCCACAAAACCGTCCGCATTTGCCACGCAGAAACCTGAATGCGGGGGTCCAACAATCCCAGCCCCCCAGCCGACCTAGGCTGTACCAACTTCTCCCACCGCACCCTATAGATGAGATGTGGAACGCAGGGGTCCTCTTTCCATAAAAAGTTCCTCAATGCTCGCTTATAGCCCTTCCACGCCCTTTTGGAAGGATCCGAAACCGCTCCTGCATACCACAGTCTTGCTGACACCGCGTTATTAGCGATAAGTACTTTCCCAAACACCCCATGCGATGCCTTCTTTGCCCAGGCCACCACACGCACCACTGCCTTGTGCAACAGATCAGCGCAAAGTGTTCACACTTAGATGTGCATGGCTTAGTCTTCGAGATAAGCATATGACTACTGGCAGGATCAACCAGGTAGCGGGTGTGACGAGCAGCCGCAAGGAGCGATGGCCGAGGCGCACATAGGCACGTCACGCCGGACAACCTACCAAAAGAACGTCGAACAATCGTGGAACGTGCAATGAGCTGCCGAGACGCAGCGAAGTCCGGCTGTTTGAATTGCAGGTGAACTTCCCTCCGTAGGCCATCTCCAACGGTAAGGTACCGCAAAATCCAACACAGCCCGCCGCACCCGCCCAAAAGATTGGTTGCGAACAGCACCCGCCCGCACCACACCCAAAGATCGCAAGTTAACCACACTACCCGAACAACRGCGCGCGCGAAGGAACCACCGACAGCTTCGGCCCACAGCCGGATGCCACCGCCTGCCCAAAACGTACCGACAGCGAAGTGCACAGCCTCATCTCTCCATCGAGAAACACTGGTGAAGAGAGAAACGAATGCACCACGCTTCCAACACGCCCGGACGGCCGGAAAGCCTCCACCTGTGCACGGGGGCGCTAAAGGAACACAACCCCTCTCCCCCCTAGATCCACATCCGCCGGTTGCCGCGGGCACCACCAACAGCACTCGACGCAGGCAAAACCTAGGAGACAGAGGACAGTAGCCTTCGAAGCCCACAACCTAAACGTAGCGTAACCACGACGCAACACGATCCGTCACGATGTGCAGCATACCGAGATCACAGGATGGGGGACACGACGGGCACAAGCGCGCATTCCAACAAGTCGGGCGGATGACGTGCCCAACCTCGCGACGCCGTCGGAGGGTGCATCACGCATCCCACAAGTCTCCACCCTCGCATACGGTCAGCAGCAGGTGCATGGCCGAGGCCACCTGTGCCACCGCTCAATGGCGCCGCTCGGATGGCGAAGAGCGCAGAGCGACCTCACCAAGTCGTGACACCCCCTCAACACAAACGGAACGCGCCGTTCTGAGTGCGGACACGAAGACGACACCACAACAGAGCCTCAACAGCTATCCCCGTAACCTACGGGATGATGGTGCAGAAGCTGAGAGCCAGTGACGGGCACCTCCGCCTCCACACCCTGCAAACGACCACCAACTGGACCGCCGTCGGCGATCAGGCGCCAATCATCGCAAGACGATGAGCGAGGGTGAATGCAACGATCCACAACCCGGCACCACAACATAGGAAAGCCCTGACAGCCGCGACCGCCGCCAATGACAATCTAGCTGTCGTGAAATAAGCCCTCTGAGAGAGACGACCATGGACCCGAACGGCGCCGCAAAAATGTTTGCTCGACCACCAAAGCACGACTCGCCCGTCCCTCGCAAACTGGAAACCACCCAAAGCGTGCGCAGAGAGTCCCTCGTAACTCGAGTACAAGGTCCCAAAACCCACGCCCGGAACGTCGCCTTCGTCGACTGCAAGGGGGCTGCTAAGCACGCAGGCCCCTATAAGAGTGCAAACGGGACTGCAAACCGCCAACCACCGACTGTTTGCCACATCCTGAGGGTGCTCACTAAACCATCAGACGAGGGACCTGCACATGTCCCTTTCCAGCAAGCTGACTGGACAGACCCCAATGCCGATGTCCCCCTCGGGACCTCATCCCTTTCCGCTTTCAGTTAGACGCCTCTAGACCTTCGATCCTGGGAGCCCCCCTTTTCTCGGGGCCGTTCCTACGCCCGAGTGGCAGTGCACGGTATCTGCTGCCCCCACAAAATTCGACACCTCAAAAGTCCGTCCCATCTCC